AAACTTCTTCATGAATCGGTAACCTTGGTGCGGTCGTGCTAACATGTTATAGCAAGGAGTAAATCAAATTTTCCTCATGTGATACTGACTTCGATCAGTCGCTACCACCTAGTGCTGCGCTCTGACAACCTACACTGCCATTTCATCTCACACCCCACATCACACGTTGGTAGCAAGGGATCGCTGTTGAGAACAAAGGAGGATGTGATGTGGTGGTTACGTAGTTACCAAACTTGTACAAGCTATATCCTATCATATTGAGAGGAGCATACAATGAGAAAAATTAACGCTTACGCAACTGCTCACTCTTCAATCAGCTACTGAAATAAAACAAACAAAACTTTTTGAATTCATGATAAGATACTGTAAAAATCTGCTCTAACTTCGAAGGATAACAATTAATAATTGGATGGAGGGTTGAAGGCATTCCGGAAATGGAGTTTATTAACGCCTTAAAACAAATTTAGATTGTGTACTTTCCAATGTGCTGACGATTAAGAGCGGGCTTGATCAACAAGTGTACGGTGCTACCTGATTATTCTGCTGCATCCGCGCTGGCAATAAGCGTGGATGCACCTAACGTTGTTTGGTTTACTGCAGAAACACTCCAAAACCTTTACAATGTATGAGTCTACCTTTTATGGTAGAGTTCTCAAGCCGACAGGGCGAATACCATGTTATCGTTTTAACGTATAAGTGTCCTATGAACATTATGTGTATGTATTAGGTTGAGTCACAAGTCCTTGGACAAAATGATAGCGATAACTTCTAGAGATCATAACTCGGGAAAGGGGTGACGAAAATGGACGCGCGTAGCATTGTTAGATAGAGTACGAAAAGCTCTTCAAAATACATATTTACGAGTACACCTGACTGTTTCCTTTCCTGCAATCATGCCCCATGATTTCGAACCGTTGCAATTCCAACTCCGCAACACCACCCTATTTCTTTTTTATCTGGCCAAGAACCAGCGGAAATCGATGGACGTATGAAGGAAGCTTACAAGAAGGTTGCTCCTGCTGGATGCATCATTTACAAGTGGCACACGAAGTTCACGTCGGACGACTATTCCATCAAGATGAAGATCATCCGGAACGCTCAATGAAGTTGGATTTGGACGTGCTGCGGAGCCAGCTGGAAGCAGATCCGTATGGAATTACTCGTGGACTGGCAGTCACTTTTGAAAGTCAGTTCACAGTTATTCGTGGATTGAAGTCAATCAGCAAGGTGCGAAAGCTCCCTCGATGGATGCTTCATGCTTTGAAGTAGTATGACATAGCCTGCTGCGCCGACATAGCACTTTCTCTCCTCACGCTCGAGCGCAGGAAACGGTTGAAGAGCTTTTTTATACTCTATTTAACGATGCCTAGCTCGTCTATTTTCGTCGCTTCTTTCCCGAGTTATGATCTCTAGAAGTCAACACTATCGCAATGTTCGAGGACTTACGACTCAACCTAATATGTACCTTTACCGTCTAATGATGAAACTCCAAGATACCGACGGGTCAGATATGACTCATCCCAATCCTAAGGTTTTGGAGGTGAAATTTCCTAATCCAAAAACTCGCCTAACACCATTTCGCAGCTTAGCTGGGTGCGTTCGCTTCAAGGCGCTGTTCACGATAATTACGAGGTAACTCTTTTTAGACGAAACGAGGGGGCATAGGTTGGAAAAGTTGACCGGTAATTTTTTTGTTGTGAAAAAAGCGAGAAAATTTGAAACTTGAGAAAAATAAGGCCCCTTGAAAAGAGGGGAAATAAAGTTCGGTGAAATTACCATAGCAGAAAGAACATGAAAGAGGTATTAAGACGAAATTAAACTCGTTGCAATTGCGCGAAGAACTGACTACATCAAGCCAA